TTAGTTCGAGAAGATGCTAAATTAGACATCGTAACACAAATCTTATGTTGCATATGCATAGTAAACTGACAGCTACAATAATATACGGAACTAGAGAACTTTTTTTTTATTCAGTCACACGTGTCGTGTGGCGTGTGTCGATGGCGAGTATAAAGCAGTCAGAAATAAACCACGTTTACATTAGTCAATATCTGATGAGCACACAGCATCTGACGAATGCTCGACGATACGGACACCGAACAAATAATCTTTCCGTTAGTCTAATAAATAATAATAATAGTAATAATAAAAATCTTTCCGCGCAATGACTGTCAGGCGGAAACGCCTAAGCGGAATTAAAAAGCTACTTTTGATAAACGCACGAAATCACTCACAGTACGGCAAAAATTAGATCAGGAAAGCAGAAATGCGAACAACAATAAATAGCAATAAATAGCAATAATGAAAAACGGTTGAAAAATACGTAATGTTAGCAGCAGCAGCAGCGAAAACAGAAAAGCGTTCGATAGCAGCAGGTCATAAAATAAAAGGTTATTTGGGAATAAGTCCTAAGAAAAATTAGAAGGACAACGAGATTAGTCTAAGAATTAACAAAGAGTACTATTTAACCAAAGGCATAAACCAGGGCCCTAATGTGACTGTTGAATTATACCATAGCAGATTAATCGAGTATAGAATACGGCCTATGAGGCCCCTCGTCTACCATACAACGTTCGCTATGGACGTGGAGCAAAAAAAATTAGCATTAATGATAGGGCACTCAAATATAACTTTGTAAGAGAAAGTTTTACCTTATAAAGTGAATGAACGCCACTGTGGAGAATGTATAATAAAGGTAATGGCCTAGCGAAACGATATAGGAGAACTAACGGTGGCCGTATATCGCCGCTAGCTTCCACGGCCTGCTGTGCACTATAGAGAAAATAATGATAGCTTATTTGGAAGTTGTGTACGAGATCGAAAGGTTTATTGCGACCTGCACGGAGAGCGCAATATGTACAATACAGTAAGCTCAGCCCTATTCATGTCAGGAGCAAAACAGACGAATTGATCGAGGCGTTCAAGGAAATCGCTAAAAAGGAGACGAGAGCATAACTGATAGGCTGAGCGCAAGCCAACGACTACCCTAGAAAGGTGATTCCAACTTAATTCCACTTAATGAAAATTGTCATTGCAGCCGAAATTGTGGCGGCAAAACTTCATGGCGATAGAATGCCATGACCCTTAAATGTCCCGCCCGTTTCGTAATTCTTTGAGCACCGTCTACCAAAGACCCAATTCCGACCACAGGATAAAGACGCTGGGATGGCTATTGACCTGCCATCTTGGCCCTGAAATGTGACAGGCTGTGGCGGGGGTAGACTAGTAAATAAGAGAAATAATATCAATACGTTCGTCTGTTTCAGGACACATTCATTTGTAAAAGCAGGCCATCGCTATGGATTTCTAAGACACTGACCTCTACATATTATGCCCATCGCTGCCATATGGCTTAACAGTGAAATTTCAAGTCGTTGATTAATCCGCACCGGGTTGCTGAAGGTAATAAAGGGTTTGAGAAACGATATCTAGTGCATGTATTTAATTCCGAAACACACTGAGGTGATCAAGGAACATATATGGTTTTAAGACTTGCTTGCAACATTCAACACCCAATAATATGCTCTGCCATTCTGGAAAAACGCAGTGATTTTTCACGTAAACAAAGACCTTTGCAAGTTACTCGAAGGTTAAATTCGCCCAATTAAAACAAGTCTTTTCAAATTCGAATGTACCGCCGAATCCTGACATCGTTTCTAATTTTGCTATAACAAATTTTCTCACAAAATCGAACTACACGACAATTAATTACAATGTTATAATCAGCTTAAACGAACGTCTCAGTAAGGACGACAATTTCTAAAAAGTTGATTAAGGTGCAGCAAGAGCGATGTGTCTACTATTTCATGGAGCACTCCTTTTCTAGTCTTACAACCTTAGAGAAGATGTGCACCCGTTCAATCTTTCGAGGCGAGTACCAGCTATATCAATTTTGTAAATTATCGAACGTCCAATATCTTTTTTTGTGGAACAACTTACATTGATACATTGAATATACACGTCAGAGATTATATAATCAAACTGAAAAACCTAATCGTAGCAATGTAATTAAATCCGCACTTAAATAACTGAGTGAAGAAAGTTTCGAATTTAAAGTCCTTGAACGATTCAAGTGTTTAACGATCTTCTAAAGTTAACGAGCTTCTAAAGGTTAAGATAAATGGGACCTCCGATGTAATCAATGCGTTCGATAGGACTTTTCAAGTGTATTTTTCTTCGCACGGTTTGGATCGCTTTCAACGGAACGCCAATATTTAAAAAAAAAAAACTTATGGCGGAATTCAGTATACGATTTTTAAAAAACCTTGAGTCATTTAGTGATTTGAAAATGACTGACCTCTTAGGCCCTAAACGGTACGGATTTAGAACGCGCAAGTCAGCTGACTGTTAACAATAGAACTAGTTCTTATTGCATTTGCTTGCTCCATTTACAGCGAACGATGCTTCTGTTGCATAGAAATTTACTTGGTAACAGAATGGTTGTGGTATAGGAGAGAAGTTATCTATTAAGCGTCCCCGCGAGCCCTTCAAAACTCGGTTTTAGGCCCATTGTCTCTCCTATATTTTTCCTCAAAACATTAAATTTTACAATCCGTTTCAGAAGCGTTTCGTGCAATTTACGCTGAACAATTAAAGCTGGACATGAAAGCTAACGACACAGAAAGCCAAAAACCCTTTCTAATAGCTATTGGAGAATTCTGGAAACTGAGATGTTTATAAAATCCAATTTAGACAGAAGAAAAAAAACATCTCATGTAGCATTTTAAACGAATAGGAAATCCTTATTTATAATGCACTTAGAGGTAGCTACCTCGTCTCAGCCTGATTTTGCATCGCACCGAGCAAATTAAGCGATGCAGTGTAACTAGTATATTTTTAGAAAGTCATCGCACAGGTTTAGTAATGCACTCTGTTTTATTTGTTGTATTTTTATTTTGTTTTCTCGAATGATTATAAATCGGCAAAACGTATGTTATTGAAACACAAACAAACATCTGAAAAAGAGACAGCTTAGTATATTAAAAATTGAACGTTTACGTGTAATGGAACGGTTCGTCTTGTCGAAGCATTTTCTACGAGCAACAAACGAGACCAAAATGTAGGCTGGGAGTCTTGGTTACCGACTGCAATGAAAAAGTATTATCACAAGCCTTTTCAATGCAAGATTTACGTGATACGTAATAATCGTCATTTAAAAAGCTGTATTAAATAAGTTAATTATATTACGGTTGAGTTGGTCGCGACTGGCGCCTCCCTTATCAGCGTGTAGGAAAGTGATGGTTGTTTTATTATATTTTATATATATATATATATATATATATGTTGCAGATATTAAACAACTATATACTAAGATATATATATATATATATATGGATCTCAAACTCAATGTGCTGTTATGTACCATTACTTTAGGAAGTATTGCCTTTCCCGAGAGTTAGACGATACACTAAAATCGATCCTATTGAACAAAGAATATGTAATGTACCCGAAACGCTGTTTTGTAAAAGTAGCAGCCTCTTATTATTCATTATTCTTTTATCTATCTATTACCGTGCACAGTTTAGGCCCATGCATCTATATATGTATGTTTCGGAATACAGAAAAGCTCTCTTCAAAACATTCAATGCTAGCGAACGATGTTGCAAAACTGATTGCATATATGCCTAGTTCACCTTTATATACGCCGCTCACTATATAAATATTTCCTCCTTTATAAAGATCCACTCAGGCCTTTGAAGAAGACAGTTTGCCAAACTTCAATTTGCACGCACTATGCAATTGTAATATATGCGTAAGTCAGCATTGTTGAAATCACTAATAAATAAGAAAAATATTGGCAGTTTTATTTATTTCAAGAAACATAAATTAGGAGATCTTTATGTTCGCTGATATTCGAAATACGCCTTCGCAGTTAGAGAGACATTAGTCCCGTTACAATCGATGCGGTAAGACGTATTCATTTTTCGAAGATATTCCACACCACGTTCATGCCAAACTCGGACAAGCTAATTACCAATTGACATGTAAAATAGAAAATATAATAAATGGCGAACAATGATGCGAGACAATCAATCCAAATAAAAGAGTTCTGTTCGTAAACAGAAAATAAGATCAAGAGAGAAATGCCCGAGGCACTACTGACAGCACCCCGGGGTGGGTCCTTCATCACCGCCAAGGTGACGTTACTCCAGAAGCGTTTTAGTCAGAAACCGACTCAGCGCCGCCTGGATATCGCGCATTTAATTGCAAACAAAAGCATCGGCTATCTGCCCGATAGCTAGATCTAAGTGACCAAATACTATTTGTACAATTACATAGACTAATTTAGTATGAGGACTTTAGCTTCTTAATAAAATTAGAATTAGCTGGAACAAATTCGTTTGTTGTTTCATGCAGGTTTAAATACATAATTGTATACTGAGAGCGTATTTGATAGTCAAATTAAGGTGTCGAAATTCGCAGACTTACCGCTAGTTCCGTGTAAGTTACAGAGTTTATTTTGAGAAACACAAAATATGTAAAGCATCTTAATGGCTCAGCAGACTTTAGTGATTGCTCCTTTTTCAAATACGCTTTTAGAGTTAAAGAGGCTTCAAGACCCCTCACAAATCTCTCTTTTGATGTTTAAATTTCAGCCGACACTGCCAAAAGTGGCACTAATCGAAATACTGAAACATTTACAATAGGAAAGTTGGATTCTAATCTTGACATCAGGCCTTTAGGGGACAAATTCAGACACAGACGAAAAAGGTAATAGTGTTGCAACCATGGTATGATTGTAGTGCTAATTCTAGCGAGAGTTCGCGCTGTCAAGTTGAAAATAACGAGAGGCACCGTCCATATTGCGTGTATAATTACCCGATTATATTTATAATGAGAGTTAATTCGCGATAGTTCGATTTGAGCACTATTGCGTTGTCTACGATTTATATGTTGGTTCTAGGTTTCAAGAAACGAGGATCGTACACTGAAGGTAGCATGCTTGGTGGTGAGTGTTGTCAGTATATGCTAACGTATCTCAACGCCTGATCGTATGTCGTTTTGGATTAGACTTCACGTATAATTTAGGTTAGGTTCCTTTAGTGTGCCTATGAACTAGTGAGGCTTTGTTTTTTGATGAGCTTAATTGAAGTGAGAAAAATTCTCGACAAAGCTACAAAAACTGTTAGCGACAATGTGCACAAGCATTGATCGTGTCAAGGGAGACTAATATGTCTCCCTTTTTGTGCACATATCTTTAACATTGCCGCAGTTTCGAGTGAAATCAATGAAAACGTCAACCATTGGCAGGAATAAAGTTAGAAAAGCCACGTGGAACACAACCACGACCAGTGGCGTAACTGATGTCCCATTTTCATTCTTTTCATCGGAAGCGATGCGTTTCTTTCGCATCTGCACAGAGGAGCCATTGATGGCCGTCTCTCTGTAGCCGACCCTGCCCCTACGTAACCCCTCCTCCTTCAAGGATTGCACGACTTCCCACTGAGTCGGTCGTGGTCGTCGCACGACACTGTACTAAAATAGAAAACGTTGATTCGTGCCTCTCTTTGTTTGCGCTACAACTGCCTTATCATTCGATGACAATGGTAACGCCGTGCCATTTCTCACTAAGGAAGAGACGATAGCTCTTGCTAGTACGAGCCGTATGCTGTGAACACTGAGAACGAACACCGCCCAAAACAGTGGCAAGGATCTCGACAGATCGGAAAGAAAGATGGAAAAGGGAATGCCATTTTTTTTTTTTTGAAGAATAGTCTTGATGGTCCAAATCAACCTGAATAGTTCTGAGACCTTTTCCCCGTGGCGCTCGACACAGCGAGTCCGCACCTCATAACCGCATAATTGAAAACATATACGGATATGGCCAAGGATGCGTCAATTTTTACTGCTAGCTAAATTACAATATCGGTACCGTCGAAATTTCTAATTTGGCCATGTTCTACTTCTGACATTCGCCTGCAAGCAAAATTGTTTCTTTGCTTCAGATATTTTACTAAATGCGTACATCTTGCAAATGAAAGCTAGTTTTGGTAGGTTTCGTATATTTGAAATACTGCATGACTCAAGTTAGCAGATCTAAGTCAATAAACTTGGGTCACGTTGGAACTCTACTAAAACAACAATTTTTATTACGATTGCCACCATCAATATTTGAGTATGAGACCATCAAACTGAAGCAGACATCTGTTACGGTTCAAAATAGGTCTTTAGGCATATGCAACTTAGTAATATTAGTATTTGCTCGATCAGCTTGGAACAGGAGCCTTTCTGGATCTAAGTCGCCGACGCCACCGTCTGCCGTAAACGGTACAAAGTACAATGGCACAGGGCATATGATGCTGTATATTTCAAAGAAAAATTCCATGTTCACGGTACGTGCCAGGTTACGCATGCTAGTATTAATATTATGGACATTAACATGAATAATATTATAAAGTGAACCCACACTCTTTCAAAAGTTCTAACTACACAGTAGCTAAATAATTTCGTAGCTACTTGTAGATGATATGTACAATGGATCAAAAAAATCAAAAAACTTGCAGTATGCAGCTTCTTTTTGAGTGCTGCATACGGATGTATGCTTAGTCGTAGTAGTAGTAGTAGTAGTAGTAACAACAATTTTAATGTTACTACGCTTTTAACGAAACGGTAACATGCGAAAATACCATTTTTGTAAAATAAAAGGTAAAAAAAGAATCAGAAAATATTGTATAATAAATAGTGATGTACAAATTGCTATGTGACAGTGTTACCGGCTGGTTAACTCTAAAAGGGTTGTTGAGGCAATGATCTTTATTTGACGATATCTAAGCCTAGAAGCAAATTGGGAAATTTAAAAAAAAAAAACGTTTCTACCAATATATGCGTATAGAGATTTTTTCAGGTAATAAAAATTGACCGAAAATTACGCGCAGAGAAATTTTACTACATAAGAAGCCTAAAACCTTCTAAAAAATATATTTACTATTCTTTAGCCATTTGCGACAATCCTTTGTCAAAGTCTGGGTAAATCTAGATTCTAAACACAGGATTGTCACGGTGTAAACAAGCACTACAACATCGCATACCGGTTAAGGTTGGACTTTTCGACAGCAAGTATGGAGATTCGAAAAACGCACAAAGAGATTCAGACACTCAAAGCTACATTCGATTGGGCCACTTCGATATAGAAGCCTTATTTATCGTCTTTTCTTGGCCGTTTCTGTAGATCACAAATAGTAAAGTCACATGACTTTAAAAACATGGCTTCCATAAGCTGTAACGACGAGTCGAATACATTTATTACGTAATTGACCAATTATCAGGCCTGTTCAACGAGATTCTTCTTTAAAATCCAAAAAAATGATCAGCCGGTGTATTCAAAAATCGCCTTAGTTAGTACCGTAGAACTAATAAGAGAGATAGCCTCATAATCTATAAACGTTTGGTAAAACGGAAATGGTAGAAAAAGCTAAACGTGGAATGGGACGTGACGCCATTTTATCAATCAGAGAAGGTGAACACATTGAGGCTGTACCTAACGGAGTTGGAACAGACGTAAATAACCCATTCATTGAGCCTTTGCGAACTTCCGTCGGCCCAGCCTTTGAAGAGACCTTTACACATCTATTGCCATTATCACTTCAGGCTTCTATTGAATAGAATCACCACTAAAATCACAATCGATTTAATCCCGAGATGTTGGTAATTCTAATCTTAAAGTCGAATATTTAAGGCCCACCATTATCAGCTTATCCTTCCATAGCCATAATTCTTAGCGTAAACAACTCAGACGTGCACTAAACATGACATTTTGCAGTACGTCGAGCTTGGATCTTAGAAGAATTGTCCACAGATCTTGCTGTTGTTACTTATGATCTATTTCACCGCCCCCTACCCCTTAGCATGTTCGCTCGTTTGTTAAGCACGTTCTTCTGTGAATATTCTTCTAGAACATAATATGATTCCTTTATACTTCTAAACTTGAGGATACTTCAGAAGTAATATTTTGTTGAATCCCTCATTTAGCAACGGTATTTTCTCTATGTGTCTCTGAAGGCTTATCGCACTTCATCTATAGCTAAGAAAAACGTCTGAAGGCGCTTTCAAGTAAGTGCTGGAATTAAACTTTTTTCGTAGTTGCCACAAGCCAGGCCATCAAGTCTATAACGGTGCATGTGCATTCTTTTTTAAATTTTGAAAGAAGCTTACAATTAAAAAGAGAAATACGAGTAGATTGAGCAAGGTTTGGTCTTATTTTTACGCAGAGCATCTTTTGTGTATATGCGAAACATAATCTTAGTAAAATTATCCTTATTATTATTATTATTATTATTAACTGAGATAAGACAGGTCAACTGACAATATGTTGAATCGTAGATTAAAGTAGTGATCGATTCGATAATCACTATTTAAATACTGGATTTTAGTTTCTCGGTGGCTGTTGACTTACTTATGGATATTTTATCTTTTACACAGAAAGAAACCAAACGAATAATCTAACAAAAGGAGGACGATGACTACCAGGTATCTTTTTTTCTTCATCCGAAGTAAGTAAGCTGAGTTTCCGCTTCTACGGGCTCTATACATATATCGCCAATTATTGAGTGAGATACACTTTGCACGTATGATAGCAAAGGCTTGAATGCAAGTTCGTGTTATTTTTCTAATTCTTGTAATATTTCGCCTCTATAAATGTAACTTACTTCGTCATCGCATACAGTTTTACTGTAGAAACAAACGATTTTCAAATGCTAGATTGCCACCGAGATGACGGTTCCCTTCGTTCTCACGAGGACGTTTGCGCTGGGAGCAAATTTACTGAGAGCCTTAAAACACTATTAGGATAATGTGTATTGAATTGATAGTATTTTACGTCTTATTTTAGATGCAAATTACACATATAGCTTACCTATGTGTGTAAAACAAGGTACAAAATAGATAAATATTTTGTTTGTTAATCATGCGTTGCTTGAGGCTTACACCTATAAAGTGTAGTACTACGATCTGTAGTATAGGATTATTAATCTTGGACTTTTGGCCTTGTTATGCCCAAGTCGGGCATGATATGGGCGTCCCGGAAAAATAGCCTACTAACAAAATAGACACAAATTAATCAGAAACAAATTAATTAAAAAAGATAATTTTCAATGCGAAATTTCGCAACACTTTTCGATAAAATCGAAATTTGGTATCTCGGTAAGTAGTAAATTCTAGAATTAGATCATTTTCGAACGCGCAGTAAATGTTTCATTAATATAATATAATAACAAGATAATACCCGTAACACATGTTATCAGGCATTTTCCGCAAACTTTTATCGTGATAAAATTCATCGAATAATGTCCAAGTCGGGACGCTAACTGATTCAGCTCATTCCGATATTACCGTAAGTGCTTATTTGAACATAAAGTTTTAACACAATTCGATCAGTATAGGAGAGCTCTAAGCAGCAGTATCGAAGTCTATCGTAGAAGAAATAGCTAACAGTAAGCTATAAAAAATAGGTAAGAGGAGCCCGTTGTCTGACCGGTGCTATAACTCAGCCTAAACAGTCTATTTTTTATTAGGACAAATGGACCTATATCTATAAAACTTTTTCAGCTTTTCTGAAATTCTTCCATTTAGAATACTCTTTCTACTGAGGTAACCTCCATGGGCTGTAGAAGGCCAATGTTTTCAAAAAGACGTATTGCTCCCTCTTTGTTAGATATATAGCGTTTTGTTAACGGTCACCATCTCAACTGTCTGTAATAATATTAACAGACAACCTAGCTAATGAAATTGACCACTAAAGAATTCTATAAATACGCCGAATTTAGTCCACCAAATGTTGCGCTCTGGTCTTCCCTTTCAGCGGTGAAAAAAAAGTCTGTAGTTTAGACGCTGGAAAATCGAGGGTTTAAATTCAATTTTTTCATTATCTACTTTATTTCTACTAGTTATTTTGAATAAATTAATCAACCAACCAAGTATTTTTAGGACAAACGTACTCCTGTCTGCATGTGTACATCGCGTATGTTTTCAATCGAGGCAGCACTGCTCACAAAATCACTCATTTTGAAGTTACGTTTGCTAGTTCACTTTTTCAATGAAGTTCAGCTGTTCGCGGTAAACGATGGTCCCATAAGAAAATCTACTTTGTTTGTCACCCCCTTAATAATTAACCTCGATTAGTTAACAGTTAGTATGTATCAAAGCAGAAATAGAATGTTTCTATCATTTTCAATTTGTTTTGTGAGTAACTACTTTTGTGAATCGCAATATCGCTATCGCATCAAGCTATGTTCATAGAACCATTGTAGTAGGTTGGTACATCGTTTTCTGCGGATTTTAATATCTGCTTTGTTTCAGCCTTGTATTTGTTAACGGTCAGTGTTGCATACGTCTTCAACTAAAAATTTCTCTCGTTTCGAGTTCGAACTCTAAGAAGATGCGTGCACTTTTAGAAGATTGGTTTGCAAAATAGAAACGATTCCTATTGAGCATTAGAAGCAAATAGAAAACGATTTTTTAAAAAAGTTCCGTTTTAGTTCGTTATCATGATAATTTCACGATTGTTCATCCTTTAGCGTAGGTGACAAACCTATTTTAGCAATGCATCTGTTGAGGATCGCTGCTTATTATTGGAGCTGGAGATAGGTTAGGCCATAACATTCACCTTATTTGAGTTAATGTAATTAGCGGCATACATGGTATAGGGTTTTGGGCGTTGCCCTCATAAAAGTCCGCTCCCTTTGTGCTTTTAATGGATAAGCACCTATTAGGTATCGTTTTTTGTGGTTATTTGTTCAGTGAAATAAAATAATTCAAACTGTTTTCTATCAGGTGCTTATTTTCTGTGTTCAACTCAACTGGCAATATTTTAGGTAGTCAGTCAAAAATTCAATCTTCTATTAAACCTGAAGTCACCTTAGGGTGGGCTTTTGCGCATCAGAAAATTGAAGTATGGTTACGATAGCGGCATGTTTTTTTACATCTCTTTGGGATCTTTTCCAACACGAACAGGCCAGAAACGCACAAGCCGAATTAGCACGTAACACGAGGAAGATACAATAAATTTTTAATAAGCCAAAACTATGCAAAAAGACCATCTGTTGATGGGTGTACAATTAAAATTTTAGCATATATATTTTTTCTTATCCTAACAAAAATTTTTAAAGGTTTGCATCCGTTTACCTCCATCGAGCTTTTTTCAAATGTATGATATATATATATATATATATATACCATAATTATTATTATTATTATTATTCCTATTGCTAAATTGATACAGATCAGTTTAAAGAATCTAGACAAAGCTGACTTTAAGTAGATAGCACTGCTGGATAGAAATTATGTGATCGGTAGAGTCGGCATGCCTATTTAGATGTAGTTGACATTGTTGTCAAGCTAACGCCATCGTACAATCTCTTTCTCCCAACATTTGTGTCTTTTCGCATTGATTATGCGGGCAGAATTCGTATGGGCAGGTAATGTACACGCGTGGAGCCTTTAAAACGCTCCGTACCGTTTGCCTCTTGAGAAATTTGCTCCTCCGGACCCCACTATCACTTCAATGACTTCGTAGCAATCGCGGTAATACCAGCAACGAAATCTATTGTTTATGTGCTATAGTTAGGTTTCGTCATATCGTCATGTACTTACATATGAATCAGGGGTTACATGACATTACCCGATTACCCCACGTTTTCTCTAACCTCGCTAAGGTTGTTATATCAGACTTGTAGACTATTTTCTATGCGCCATTGTATTTGAGCTTGCTATGAATTTGCAGTCATATCATTTCGCACTACTTTGTCTAATTCGCTAGTATGACTTCTAGCCAAAAAAAAGTAACCAGAAAAACGGTTACTTTTTAGAAAGGCTGTTTTAGATATTCCATTAGATAATCTGTATCTAAGTATAAGCTCTTAACTCCCATTTACCACTGTGGTCTATTGATTCGATTGTTGTCGTACAAAGACATCTCTTCACTTACCTTGGTAAGGCTATGATAAATGTTTGTGGCTGACGCTCGCGCGTATAATGCCGTCACTGTGTATATAGTATCAGTATAGGTAAGTCAGCCATGACGATAAACATACAAACGTGAGACGCTATTGCCATAAAAAAATGTAAAGGAAGCGCATGCTTTAAAAATGCTTCATTTATGTTCGTGAACTTCTATAAAAACTAGACAAAAATGATAAAAT